CACAGAATTCAGCATTCCACTCTCGAGAAGCCTGTTTTAGCCCATACAGGCTTCTTCTAAGATAGCAAACTTGACCAGGTTTAGCTTTCATATATCCTTCAGGTGGAGCCATGTAAATGTCCTCATGCAATGTACCATGCAAAAAAGCATTATTAATATCAAGATGATGTAGAGGCCATCCTTTGTGAGATGCAATGGCAACAAGGAGCCTGATGGTGTCCATCTTGGCAACAGGAGAAAAACTCTCCAAATAATCTACACCATAGACTTGGTGATAACCCTTGGCCACCAATCTGGCCTTATACCTTTCTACAGTACCATTAGGATTCAATTTTACTTTATATACCCATTTACATCCTATAACTTGCTTATCAATCGGTAAGTCTACCAAGACCCAAGTCTCATTCTTTTCAAGGGCTGTAAGTTCTAAATTCATGGCCTCAACCCATTCTTTACTTTTACTAGCTTGAATATAAGATTTAGGTTCTTTTATACCAGATAAAGATGCCAGAAAAGACACATAGCCGGAACTCAATGAAGGAGAGATATGATTGGGAAAAGTATGTAGTGGATAAGGACTGGATGTTGTACCTGAGACTAAGTCATCGTGTGTCAGTGGAGACAGTGGTAGAGCAGTGGAGGAAAGTATATAGTCAGCATGCCAAGAAGGAGGTTGTTTTGATCTGGTACTTTGTCTAATAGTGGGAATATCTGATGATGTGGTAGAATTTTGAACAGGTGAAGGATGATTTGAATTATAGTCTGGTTCTTCCTCAGAGACCAAAGGTAAAGGGGTGGAATTTGAGGAATCAGCAATGTGTTTGTCAGAAAGAAAAGGAAAGTTATCCTCAACAAAATGTACATCCCTAGAAATCAGAATAGTGTGATTAGCAAGGTTGTATAACCTGTAGCCCTTCTTGCCAGCTACATAGCCAAGGAAAACACAAGTCATGGATCTAGAATGAAATTTGGACTTGTGAGGATCTAGATTTGCAGCATAGGCTAAACAACCAAAGACTTTCAAAGTGGAATAATCAGGTAAGTGACCAAACAATATTTCAAAAGGGGTCTCCAATTAGTGGTAGAGGTAGGTAATCTGTTGATCAAATATGTAGCATGTAGGATTGAGTA